TTAAGGATTCATATTTTTGTAAAAATTCTTATATAAGATATAAAAGTTGTTTATTTTTTTATTCTCTTAATATACTTATAATCTAAATAAAATATGATGCCGTAGTTGCGGGTGCAAGCAAAATAATGTGCTGCAGCACTGGCCTGAAGTAGAAAAAGGAACAGGGTGGTTTTTAGTCAATAAAAGAGTAAGAACTCTCTCCTCAATCTGGGCGATAGAAGTTATTTGATGATTAAAAAGACCTTTATTAAAATAGTATTCTTGCGCGGTTCACCCGCTTCTCCATTTGATCGTAGCGTGATGTTTAATAGCCTATAGCACTCAGGAACATTGTAGCTATCTATCAGTGAAAGAATTTTGGCAATCCGACCTGCGGTTCCAAAGATTACCCCCTACATTCAAACTTACAAACTTACAAATTTTACCTCTTGATAATATTATAGTATAGATATAACAATATTCTTTTTGTGTTCTTGGTGATATACCAAAAACCTATACGTCCTTTTTACGAGCCTTCTACTTTATTTGGTGTTTTATTCTTCTCAATGGGACCATAAACAGTAGATATAATTTTCACCTAAGCTATAAATAAGTTATAAATAAGAAAAATAAACAAAGACGTTTTCATTACTAAATAATTATTATCACTTGACCAACGAGTCAGGCAACTCTAAGTAATTTAGGAATGAAATATTGAATAGTTACGGTTCTCGTAAATTAAAAACCTGGAGTCAGATGAAAAATACGTATTACCTTTTTAAAATTCTAATTAACTGCAAAGTCGTCACGATTCAACCTCCTGATAAGGGGTCCCACGCAAAGTAAAAAACTCCAAGATAATCTAATAAAAGAAAACCGCACCTTTTACAGAATACGTCTTGCGGTTTCGTCCGAGACTCGGAAAATTTACGGCTCCTTTTTCCGTTGCTCCTTGTTATCCGAGATTGCAAACGTGGTACGATAAAAGACCTTAATTTTTTGTTGTTAACGCTCTTTTTACTCTGCAAAATGTATGCGCGAAGACAGAGATTTAATTTTTTTGAATCCTTGTTTAATGGCAGTGATAAATCTCCACGCGTTGGGACATGGGTGGGGTTTAGAGTAGTGACTTGTCGCAGTATATTTTGAGCTTAATTTGGAAAGAGCCAGTAACATTTATTTATATTTTCTCATTCAAGTATAATGCAAGTGCAACAATTTGCGAGTAGGACAATTCTAATGCATCTCCTAAATTAGAATAGAGATAAACTTTAGTATAACCTTATATTCAACATACATTAAATACGCAGCGCAATTGCACTGATTTCTTACCATCAGGTCATTCGTGTGTTATCCCGAATCACATAGCAAAAGAAACTCCGTTCATCACCTTGTTCGCTTATTAAAGGCATTCTCATTCAGATTGCGTTAATTGCCCTTAGAAGCTTAAAAAGGGTTCATGATACATTAAATACATGCTTCCAAGTTTTATTGCATTGCAACTAACTACATATCAACTTTCGAAGCCTTAGGAGCTCCATACCCTATCAGAGATAAAACTAGTTTCTTATAGACAAAAAAAAAATCAAACGCAAAAACAAAATCAATGTCTGCTAAAAAATATTCTAAGTGTGAATCATTCGACCTTCCTTCCCCTACGTTTAAGTGTATCCATAGTAATACTGATGCTTCAAATCGATAAGCTGCAAGTATCAAATTATTCACAATAGTTTACTTTACAGTGACCTTGATCAAATTACTAAGTTGAATAACTTTAATACCGCGTGAAGAGATCGTTATGAAAAGATTTTGAACAAGTCAAAGTTTTTACTTGTAAACATTTAGTAGGTAGTTTTGTAAGGGTATCCTAGTTAGTGTAATCACTAGCTTGCTTTTTGTTTGAAAAAGAATAACTACTTAGTTTATTATTTTTAGTTTTACGTTGGCAAACGACAACACCAAAAGAGTTGGAACTGCATTGCTGAACTTTTGGTGTTTTTTTTTTTTGTCAGCGGAGAATCATCAAATTGCTTCTCCCTCCCCGGGTAAGGCGAGAAAGAGTGTCAGACTCTTACTGACTGACCTTCCCCGTTCCTTCTCCTGCTCCGCGCTGAGGCCGCGGTGTCTCATTATTTTTGGTGATGAGTAATTTTTGGGATGGAGGACGGAAAAGATCATGCTTACTGTAACCTCAACTCGACTCTCACACGGTAAAACACAACGCTGTAGTTGTTTCACTACGGTGTTTTTTGAGGCCGTGGTATCACTTTAATTGAGCCAACTCGTGAATATCGAAGTATAGCTCTGATTGTGGAAGAGCCGTGCTTTTTATTTAAACCTTTGTATGCAAAAGGTGTGTAACATAATTAACAAATCATCTTATCACTACATTAATAATTGATTTCTTTTTTCATTTCAAGATTACTTTATTTACTGCCAAAATAATAATACTATTTTCTAACTTCAACTTAACGCACCTTTTTCAAAAATATTCACTCAAATAGGCAGTTCGTCCTTTTGTGAAACTACATTTTTTGTATTTCTTTAGTTGTAACATGAATACGAAATTGTGAAATTCAACAAGTATTAACGAACTCCTGTTGTGCCTACGCCTATCCCTTTGCCCTGGAATATCTTTCAAGCCGCTTCCTGGTGCCTTCCCGGTTCTCATTCAGACAATGAGAACATTACGTTCATTATTACAAGTTGATACAATTGACCGACAGTTCAAAGTTGTCTCGACCCCTCGTTAAGCAAAAGATTTCGGACCACTTCGCCCCTTTTACCGACTTAGTTTAAAATGCTTATAAATTATTTAAGTTTAAAACGAAATTCCTTAAGACGTTCAGGAACAAACAATTTACTTTGGTTTCGGGGGCGCAGGGCTTTGATTGTGTCTAAATTATTTATCTCAAATAACTACTTCGGTTATTTGCTTCGAAACGTTGCTGAACCTTAGCAAAGACCCTATATTTGGAAATAGTTTTTTTTTTTTGGTATAAGTCTGCAAACGAGCAGACGGATTCCCTGATGGTAGGTAGCAACACTAAAGGAGTTACGAGTGCATTGCCAGCCTTTTGGGGATAGGGGTTGCGGATATAAGGATTGGGAAAGGATAGGGGAAGGGGAGGGATTGGGCATCCGGTAACCTCACTAACACGGCGAAACACAACGCTGTGGGTTGTTTCAAGCCGGTATTCTGTGAGGCCATGGTATCACTCCGGTCGAGCCGACCCATTCGTGCCGAAGCTTGGCTCTCCCACACTTGATTCCACAATAGATGGGAATCATTTATAAACTCCATGTTACAATAATTAACCACTCAGAACACACCATGTAGTTACTTTATATTGAATTAAAGCCTTCCCTTTTTTTTGGGATCTGCCGACATGTAGACATAACTGTATTGCAATAAGCTCAAGTCATTATAGGACAACGCGTCAAATGAGCAGACTGGTCACCATTCAATTTGATGGTAAGCAAGCGGCGCCGTCCATGGATAACCAAAATCAAAGTGTTACAAGTGCGATGCTGGACTTTTAGGAATAAGTGATAGGAACCGGTTAAAAGCGAATGTCATGTTATGACCAGTCAGGGGTCAAAAATGCAATTACACTCTACCAATTTTAAAATGACTAAAATTTCTTTGTATTAAAAGTTCAATGGTTCACAGCCAGTTTATCCAATAATTTAGATTCTATGCTATAAATTAAAGCAGTCCTCAACCATTGACTCTATTCTACAAAGATATTTTCATCAGTTTAAAATTGATAGAGAGCAATTGCATTTTTGACCCCTGACTGTACATGCACCTCGCCCCACCGTACCGAGGTTAAAAAGGCGTATGATGTCATTACGAAAATGACGCCTATAAACTATAATTTCAAAAATATTAACACTAAATCAGAGCGGTAGGTAAGTAAGATGGATTTGTCAAACAATCATGTGCTTAATATCCGTGAAATATCTACAAATAGGGCCGGCTACGCACATAAATTGTGTCGTAATCGCGAGATTCAAAAGGGTCAGAGGGGTCTATTTGTTTTATTCTTTATCTCCAAAGATATTGGAATATCTACCTGAATCATGGAGGCAATAACCCTCGGAAGGTAATATTATATTTTATTAGGAGTTTCATTAACTTCGCGTTTATGTGAGGAATAACTCTAAATGTCACATTGAACCCGTTCCAGGTGTATTTGGCACATTTATTTATATGTGATACGCTTCTATATTTTTATTATAGGTAGGTGTTGTTGTATTAAACGTGTTGTAATAAACATGTTTTTTTTTTCTGAAAAAGTATTTTAATACTAAATCTAATTAGTTATGTTTACATTACTTTATCTTAAGTTTACAAAGCCTTTTATTAATAAATTTATAATATAATACTAAAATATTACATACAAGCGCAAATTATGCCTTAGGCTTGTGCTTTAAAGTCGATCTTTAGATGATGCAGAAATGAGAGTAGCAGATGTCATTAAATATTTAAAATTAATTAATTTAAATTCGAACATATACACAATATAAAAAATAATAGGAATATACACTCCTCCGGTATTGTGGATGAGCACACTCTTTTGACGCCCTATCACATAAAGAAAATTATAAATACAAATCAATATCAATATAAAGTTTTCATAATGGTTTAAAATATATGTATATAACTATAATGAAGCGTCAAGTAGTTATTATTAGTAATTTTATTCGAAGATACTGACTGACTTTATTTTTAAAAGATTTACCTTATTTTTTTATCTTTCAAAATTAAACGTGCGCTTACCAAGCAAACGACAATAAAAAGCGTCAATAAATGACAAATAATATACAAAAAAAAATCTATACAAAAATGCTTCAACAAATATAATTGAAACACATTATTCTTTTACAGATGCTGAACAAAATTAACGAGGAACAATAAAAATAAAAAGAAAATGTATCCGGAGACCATCCACATTTACGAAATAAGATGAATGGAGTACCGCCGAAGATGAGACTGGTACTAAAGTCACGGCACAATGCATGAACCCAGCCATAGATTTTTATCAAAGAATGTTCTAGAATTCAATGAAAAGATTGAGGAAGTCAATTATACATTGGAAGATATCTTTGATGTTTTTTCTAATGATACTGGAAATGTGACTGGAGTTATTGATGGAGAGCAAGCGGTGAACAACTGGTGGGCTTTGATAGCTATAATGCTAGTAGTTTGTACCGCGGCGGGGAATGTTCTAGTGTGTCTGGCGATATATTTAGAAAGGAGACTGCAGAATGTGACCAATTATTTCCTCATGTCACTGGCTATTACTGATCTGCTTGTTGCGATTCTGGTGATGCCGCTTGGAATTCTTACGTTGCTTCGAGGTAAGATTTTTATTTTACGCATTTCCTTATTTTATCGATTCTTTAGTTGTGTATCCATTATTGCGATTTAAAAGCGAAGATATTCGGGTTGTAGCCTAAATCAGGTGTAATCTTATTGAAGTATTTCGGTTGTCTGAAAGTTTTTCAATAGGGTAAATCAGGCATACGTGCCCCAGTCGATAATGTGCCCCACTCGCAGAATTGACAGATGCATTTTGAATTTGGCGGTAATTTTGTCCGTGTGGGTTAGTGACAGAAGCATGTCGTTGATGTAAAAAATTCAGTGCTGTTACTTATTTGTTTTTACGAAGAAAAAGTGGTCACAAGGTATGTATCGTAGTCTGAAAATGTTTTGTGTCTGTTGTAACTTTGATTTAAAATTCTTGCTTCATGTTTTTTTCAGTTTTTAAAGTTTTATTATAAAGGTAACCTCATGAAACTATTGTGTAACTACAATTGCTTTTCTAGTTTCTTAAACATTTTTTTGAAATCAAGTGTGGCACAATATACTGAACTTTGGCTAATGCGCCCCGATTCCTTTTGGATAATGTGCCCCACATCTGTATTAGTTTTATATTTTTATTTTAAAGCTTTTTTAACAGTTATTTTTATTTTTATGAACGGGGTAGGAAAAAGCTACGGATCCAAAAAGATAGACAAGAGAAAATATGAAAAAAGTTATAAAAGATGTCATAACCAAGAAAATGGGAGTTAATGAAGCTAGCCGCATATATGAAATAACATCAAGAATTTAATGAGATCATAGACCCATCCTGAAAGGCTGGGATAGCAAGCAAAATATAGATAGACCTTCGGAATTAGGACATCCTTCGGATTTTCCTATAAAAATTATTGGGGCACATATGACTGATATATCCGTGTAATGTGCCCCACCATAGACTTTAAGAAATCGTTGATCTCAGCAATTTTAAACACTATTGACACGTTTTTTCTTTGTTTTTGTTATACCTATTGAGTCAGAGATTAAGATTAGTTACTTTAATAAACATGTTTTAAATAACACCGTTTTTTATTTCAATTTTTCGAATTGTGGGGCACATTTGCCAGGTTTACCCTAATAGCACAGATTTCGGAGTTGTGATTTCTGCTATAAAACCTTCAAATTTGCTTTTAGTTCAGATAAAGTAGGATTAATTTCAAAAATATACTAATACATATCTAGTGGTGTTATACACGTATAAGTTTTTAATAAACGATGGATGCTTGTAACTTCGTCTTGTAAAAACTATTGAATGGATTTTGATGGGTACAGAGATAGATTCCAGTTTAGGATAAACCATAAGATAGGACCTAATTATGGACTTTTAAACCGAGTAGTGCGAACCAAACCGCTGGTAAAAGCTAGTTATTCGTCAATTCTGAATTTAAATGATCCGCGATGTGAAGCTATTTAACACAGTCATCCGAAAATAGTGAATAATTGAAAATTAATTAAAGTTACACACTCTGAAACGTTGTGCTGATTGAAATTCACTCGTGATGTTCATTATTTGTCAGTTTCAGTTTCACAAGTTCACTGAATTTATATAGGTAGTATTATACATATGTAGTTTTGAACGCCGCCAATGGATGAGAAGGGCGAATGGACGTATTATGGTTTTAGATACCTATTAGGGATTTGGGGTCGAGCGTTTGGATTTAGTGATTGAGGATTGCGATTGATGTCGAATGTTGGAAGACTTATGATTTTATAATAACTTGGCAGTATATTCAATTGTTTTACTGTCATAAAAGAAGTTAATTAGAGAATAGCAAGTTCTTCGTTTAAGTTTTGTATCGCAATGGTAAAAACAGGACTCCTATCAAGGATCCTATCATCATCATCATCAGCCTAAAAGTGCCCTGTGCTGAGCTAAGGCCTCTTCTCACACGGTCAAGGTTAGAGCATTAATCACCACGCTTGCTCAATGCGGGCCATACCCTACGGTCACCTACCCACCTACTCTTTTTGTCATAAGAACCTATTCCTAGTAGCAGGTGTCAACAAAACACTTTCAAAGATTTATTTTTATAATAACGCCATTGTACCTATATGAGAATAACCTCGGTGTCAATAATTTGTTGTATTTGCGATCGGTTACTGCAACGCACGTTATGCTATCATTAAAGAAATTCGGGGTTCTTGTTCATTGATATCTATAGAATATAACATTATTTTACATTATGCAACAATAAAAAGTTAATATACATTCTTCTTAGTCGTTACACTCTTGGATGAGTGGTCGTTGCTGTAGATAGATGGGTTGCACCATACCGTCGTCCTTCCTTTCAAGAACAGCACGTTGAGCGATGTCTCTCCACTTTTGTCGACTTTGAGCGATGCGAATACACTGTACTGCGGTCGACTTCGTAGTTTTTATAATTAGGTCTGTCCAGCGAGTCGGAGACCGGCCTCGTGGCCTCGTGCCTTCTCTGTGACCTTGTACACAGGCCGCTCCATAGAGTTCACACTTCTACATGTATAGGTATGTCCAATGAACTTCAGTGTTCGCAACTGCACAATCGACGATAACCTATCTCGTATATGAAGTTCCTTGAGGATCGAAACGTTGGTGCGGAACGCCGTCCAAGGTATCTGCAAAAGACGCCGCCATATTTTACATTATGCAACAATAAAAAGTTACTAAATATATGTTAATGTATATGTTCAAGATGTTCCTAATAAAACGTCTATAAATCTTCTAAACATTCATGCCATGTCACGATATTTACAACGCTAATTTAGTTAATGTTTAGGCGATAAACACTGAAAACGCGTGAAAATATCTTAAAAGCCTTCTTTGTAGCGGTGAAAGTAACACTTATGTTTATTTTCGTAATATGTTTCGATTTCAATGTATGAAAGACTGTTTTAGCATCATAAAGTTCTTTTAAAAATAATTTAGAGATGTCTCAGTCTTGCTCAATTATTTCTTGCTTTTTATACCTTACTAATAGATTAGGCTTTTAAAGAATGAAAATCTTATCAAAATCGATTTGGCTATTTTTGAGTTTGCTTTATTCAGACGGACTGAAACGTGACGTCAATATGTTACGCTGCAAAGTCAACAAGGTCTATCGTATAAATAATTTTGGAATTCTAAAAATAGGAGCCGAAGACAAGAAGAAAAGAAAAGCTATGTTAAATTATCTTAATGCGGTAAAAAGTTTAAAAATAAGACAAAATCGAAAATTGAATTTGTCGAATGATATAAATCTTTCATTGGTTTCCCAATGCATAGTGGGTTCTTAAACAAATTTGGGCGTAATGAAATTTTGGTGGGAGGCCTCACCAACTTGGTAGGCGGCAAGATAACTTAATTTCGCCATAGCGTCGATTAGAGCCTCTAAGAATTAATTTGTGTGGGAATTAATGTTATTATGAATTGATTGAGTCGAAATTCGATTATATTCAGGTAAAATTTGCCTAAAAGTTTCTTTAATGTCTCGTTTTGCGTAGGTCAGCCTATTATTTCGTTTTCAGCTGGGGTTGGGGGGTAAGCACAATGAGGCACCGCGACCTCGGACCAGAGCAGGAGAAGGAACGGGGGATTTTTAGTCAGTAAGAGTCTGATACTCCCTCCCAGACGGCTCTGGGCGGGAAAAGTCATTTGATTTCCACTCACAAAAAAAAAACATATTATTTCGTTTAAAGTGCGCTGACTTGGTTTTAATTATGAGATACGTTTACCATAACACTTATACAATTTTATGTTTCTATGATCATAAAAATAAAAACAATCAGGAAGGAAAAATGCTACACTACCCAACATAATAACCAATAGTAATTTAATATTTCTTTCCAAGATTTTAAAATTTCATAATAATAGACAGAAGTAAAAATTATAAAAATCATTATTGCAGTGTTTGATTATAGATTATTGAGATAGATGTATTCTTTTGTCTTTATACTTCTATTTTTACGTATAAAAACCTTGCAAATTTAATATTAGTTACAAACAGCTTATCAATATTCGCGAATTTCAATACAAAACCAAATCGAATTCTAACAATAATAATTGGACTCTCTTAATAATTGGACTATAAATATCTATATTAGCGCCATATTTTTCGTCCACTAACATTTCTGTTTATACAGAGTGGACGCATAATTTGTGTCGCGTGAGAGACCTGGCATTGATAGATGCGAGCTCGTCGCACGACAATGACTGCTCGGGACAATGTTGCTGCTATTAGCTACATTATGCTAGACACATTAGATCTTTTGAAATTATCTATTCTGTGTACAAAGTGTTTAGACAAAGGTATTATGGAACGTAGTCTGTAATTACATAATAGATATGGTAGTATTGTTTACACTGGACCATAATATACTAAAGTCTGTTTTAATGAAATAGGACAGAAAATGAGTAGACCGATTACCTGATAAGCAAATGGTGCTAACCATTGCCGGTCGTTTTGGGATAGAGGTGGGGGGAGAATAATGTTACTAATAGCCTCATTTAAATGGCGAAAAACAACGCAAGCTTTGATTCATTTCGACTTTCTGAGAGCCATACTTCGGCACGAATGGGTCGGCTCGACCGGAGTGATACCACGGCCTCACAGAAAACCGGCGTGAAACAACCACAGCGTTGTGTTTCGCCGTGTAAGTGAGGTTACCGGAGGCCCAATCCTTCCCCTCCCCCAATCCCTCCTCAATCCTTAAATCTCCTCATCCCTAATCCCAAAAAGGTCAGCAACGCACTCGTAACTTCTCCGTTGCGGATGTCTAGGGGCGGCGTTGATTGCTTACCATCAGGTAATCCGTCTGCTCGTTGGCCGACCTATCACATAAAAAAAAGACTGGTATAAATCCGTACCAGCCGATGGGCCCATTCGTACCGAAGCTTCGCTAACACATACTTATAAAATAGTCTTAGTCAAGTTATAATCGTATTTTAGTAAAATTGCAGATAGTAATCATAACTACCAAATCGATTTTTTTATAGTCTCCTGAGTTGTTTCGTTGTAGATGAGTTTAAAATAACTCAACACTC